AATAATTGAGGGTCAAGTTGGTTTTACTATATTTTGAAACCTCATGTTGATGCAACAGGACCTTGCAGTGCTGAAATAGGGCTGTGTTTGAAAAAGACAGCAAAAGTTTCACCTCATCTCAGCACCAGGCAAAGTCTCACGAGGTTCATGAATAGCAGAGATTTGGTGCAGCTCCAAAATGGGATTGTTGTACACTTGCCCAGGTGGCCTTCCCATGTCTTCAAAGTCATGGGAATCATTGAATCACAGACTGGTTTGGGTTGGAGGGGAGGAAGAGACCTTAAAGCTCATCCATTGCACGAAGGCACACTGGGAGATGGTTCAGATAGGGTTTGTTTTCAGTGTTCTCTGCGATTTTCTCAATTTTAACAGAAGGGAGGAAATTACTTCAGGATCATGAGAAAGCTTATGCTAAGGACATACTTGATATTAATGGTCATTACAGACCTAAAGAAAGCCAGGAATTTTACTTTAGAAAACTATTCTGTGTGGGCTGAAAGTCCTTTTTATCACCTCTTGTTATGGTTGTAAATGTTGCAGCACCAGTTTCACAAAATGAAGTTTCTGGCCACTTGTCTGAAGAAAAGCGCCTCCTAGAATTAATGATATTAATATCACTCCTGGACAGTTTAAAATATTTATTCTGCTGTGCTTGCTTTTATTTTCCAGCGCAGTTGATGCAGCGACGCTTCCCTTCCTCCTGGAGGACTGGCTTTATTGCCAATACAAACTGACTGCTGCTGGGAGTTCTCCTAAAAGTGGCTGCAAACAAGTATTAAATACAACCTCTCCCAGCTTCCATAGAGTTCTGTGTGCTGCTGATGTCACTAAAACATCGTTCCCCACGGATAGACCTGGCTGGCCCTGGGTCTCTCTATTCAGTGGCACCCACAGATAATGGAGTATCTCTGGGGAAAGCTCCTGCTTTGGCATCTCCTTTTTGTTTTGGCTATACAAGGATAAGATACAGCAGACTCCTGTTTTCCTCATGAAATAAGTTGGTGCCCTCCTTTCTTCACTGTTAATTAGAATCTGCTAATTCTGAATACATGCTGCCCACCACCCCCCCCCCCCCCCGAAATGTAATCCGGGTCCCACCTCTGGACTGTGCTTTTCACATCACAGCAGCCTGAATTTAGGTGCAAATAGGTGTTGTTATTATACTGCAAGTGGCAAAGTACATATATTGAAGTTATTTATGTACATTGACATTATTTAACTTTGCAGCAATGTGGCAGAGACTAAACAGATGCGTTTGCCTTGAAATTCTGATACGTGGAAGAAAGGGGTGAGATTATCTACACGGATACTCTGTGCAGCAGTCTAAATTACAGTGATGAGCTCCAGAACCCTCCTAACCTTAAACCTCTTATTTAAGAAATGAGAGGTAGAAATAACCTGAATAACATTCAGCCTTCTAGCAGCTGTGACCTGTGGGGTTGTTTTGCACCCCTCTGAACAGATCACGTGTGTGTGAGGAGCAGCAGGGCTGGCACTGGGCGTCTCAGGCCACAATTCCAAAACCCATCTTGGGTTGTGTGACATTGTCAGGAGGGGAGCCACTGTCCTTATAAATCCATAGCTTAAGAGCTGGCAGCAAGGAGATGGTTTTTTCCCTCTGAAACTCAGTCTAACCCGGCTATAACCTCTTGAGAATGAGCTCAGACCCAGGAAGTTTAGTTCTTGCTCTCGACTTTTCACATTTTTTTTCCACAGCCGTGGTTCCCATTCCAGCAAAGACAGAAGCTTTTGCAGAAGTGCAACATTTGACATTCATTTTTCCCATCTTCCTTTGAAGCAGATGGAAAGGTCACTTTGGAATAGTGCTACTAAATTAGACCTACCTGGGGTCTGATACAGTTTAACAACTCCTTCCTGGTTTTTTGGCACATTAGGTGATGCTTAAATTTGCCATTCATAAAAATAGGTACAGACTTACATGAGAAGACTTTGATTAACAGAGCATGAGTTTACTTCATCTATTCTGATTCAATGTCACTTGAATGTGTAAAATCAGAAACAAGAGAAGGCAGAAGCAAGGAATTAGTGTTGTTTTAATACCTGTCACCTTTTAATTGATAGAATGATTTCTCATAAACAAATTATGGTCCTCAGCCCCTCTAAAATTGATGTTACCTGAACAAATACAAGACTCCCATTTAATCAGATATACTTGATGGGCTTTTCTATCATTCAGAATCTCAACTTTTGCCATTACTGCTGGTTCCGAGTTGAAGACGTGAATGAACAGTTAAATCCTGTCCTTAAGAGCAGTTTTACTTTTATCCACATTTTCTGGGCCTTTCCAATTTGCTGCAACCTGCATACAAAAAATAAGTGTGCATTAGAGAGACTTTTCAAATTCCTGCTGCTTACCTATGAGACCAGAATATTCCGTATGGAGTAGGGAGGTTTATGGAGATTTTAAATATGCATTGTAGATACTTAATAGGATGAAGGAGTGAATTTGCATTTAGATAGATACTGCTATTGCTATGAATACACAATAATTTTGAAATGAATTTTTGTAAAAGAGTTGCTTTAAAGGATTCTTAAAAAAGAATTATGAAAATAATAAGTCTTAAACAACAGTGCTATTGTCTATTAATATCAAAGTAAGATGTATGTAAGTGGCTTCAACCAATTTTGCAAATAGGGATAGTGAGTAAGGTGTTATTTGTCAAATGCATGTCAGAACAGGGAATGGAACCCAGAATTCATATTTGTAGTCTCACATCCTGTCTGCCTAGACCAGGGTGTCTCTAAATAGCTGCTGGAAAGGTGTCAGAAATGTGGCATTTCTGTGAAAGTCTGTGAGGAAAGTATATAGACCTTGCATAATAGGAGCTGCCGTTTTATTTATTCCAAGTATTCGAAGCCAACCACCAGTAATTTTTCAATCAGACACTGTTCTCCCAGGGGCTTGGACCCATTGCAGGCGTTGCTGCAATCCTGCCCCAGTCTTGCAGTGAGTTGTGTTCATGGGTTGCAGTTGCAAGACTTTCCTTCAACCTATTTCAGTGCCACCAGGCTGCCACTGGCTGACCCTGCTGCTGGGACAGGCAGCATCCAGCACTCCCACATCCTGTGATTTTTCCAGAATCCGTAGATATTTTCTTTGTATGGTTTCTGTAGTGAGCAACAAGGACTGACACCTGGGTCTGACTTAATTGGGTGTTTGAGGACAACAGAGACATATTTATGTGTATAAGAAATTACATTGACTACAGACATTGTAAAAACCTTTTTTTTTTTTGCCAAGTACGAGCCTGGCAAATTTAGTTTGGCTTCTGCGACATAAGATAAGAGTCTTACAGGTTCCATGTGTCCAAAATGAAAAAGTTCTAGAGGTCAGATGAGGCCCTCAAATTCACCCGTGCTGTGCCACCCTCGGTGACCCATCTGTCACTTACAATGGCTTTGTGTCACTGTAATGGACTGAAACTTAGTAAACAATTCTGTTTGTAGTTTCAGGAGATGAATTATAATCAGCAGTTTGCTGCCTGGAGTTGTGTTACCTCTACAGTATGAGAAAGGGCGAAAAAAATTTGATTTTTAGCTGGTCAGCTGCTGTGACCAGAGTCCAGCTCTCCTGAAGCAGCAGCACTGTGTGCAGTCTCATTTTCAGGGGGGAGGTGCAGTTAATTGAAACCAAACAGCACATTTACCAGTATGGATCTCAGGGAGCTTGAGCATTAACTGATTCCATCTTTCAACACTGCTGAAAGCCAGATGACACGAGAGAGAATGTTCTGTTCCTTAATGGTGTAGCAAACACTTCAGGCTGACCATCCCAGAACTGCTTTCTCTGTTGGTGTGTTGATTCAACAAGATGGGAACAGGAGGGAAAAGCAGTGGCTCAGCATGAGCTATAGTTTGGTAAACAGCGTTGGTGAACACAAGAGCAAAGGAAAATCATTCATTTAAAAGCTGGATCTCTTGGATCCCTCGATTTAGAGAAAAACTGCACAAACAGCCCAGCAGGAATCGAAAAAATCTGATTCTGTCTTTTGTCACTTGGTTAGCAGGTCGTCATCTGGTGATGTTACACATTTAGTGAGAGACTCGTTTTGAACAGTTTTATCTGTCACACATCAAGGCTGGTATTTTGGTTCTAAAAGGGCATTATGGTGGTTGTGCCCAGCACTTACCACACTTCCACAGGGAACAGCACCACTTGCCAAGCAGTTCTGCTCTCAGATTGACAGCAAGGACACCAAATTCCAGCTCCACTGTGAGTCTCAAAGTACTGCAAAATTCAACCCCAGTAAAATCTTGGAGCTTTAAAACTGATGCTTTCAGAAGGCAAGCACAGGCTCAGATGTAAGGTGGTTTCAGAGCCTTGGCAGATGGCTACTGAAAAGTTGTTTCTGACAGAAAACTGAGCTGAGCCACAGTGAGATGAATGAGTTGACACCAAGAGTTCAAGTGCGTGGTAGTTTATTTAGTGTGCAGTCAGCTTGATTTTCAGCCTGCTGTCTATACTCTCCTTGTGACTAAAAATAAACCTCCACGCACAGCAAAGAAAGTAATTTACTGGCACTTGGGCCCGATTTAAGAATTATAAAAGAAGGAAACATTAGTTGCATTTCTGTAAAAAGCACTTAATCAGCAAAGCAGAGTTCCTTTAAAACCTCAGAATGTTTATTTCTCCTTCCTTTTACTAAGCAGTCTTCCCCTTCAAGCCTGAATAATTGTTTCCCAACGAAAGACAGAAATAGTTTTAGAACAACTTTTACTAATGTTTACTGTGGCATATCGTGCTTATAAAATCTTTTTAATATGTAACCATTTAACTTCTGTTAGCAAGATAAATTCACGGTGGTACAGATATTTTGTAAATACCACACTAACTGAGCATCTGAGTCAGAGCAGATTGTAAAAGAAAATGGCCTTTGGAATAGACTCCGGGGTTTGCACACCACTAAGATATATGAGGCAAAAAATTTTAGGATGAACCAGAGTTGAGAGTTCAGTATGTTCTTCATGCTGCAGATGGCAACTACGTGCCCTGAACTCGTGTGGGGGCATTTCTGAGGTCACCAGCCATCCCTGGGGGAAGTGAGTCAGCAAAAGCGTAAGTGATTTCAACACCTTTGGTATAAATTCCATAGATTAGTAATATGAACTTTACAAAACTTTTGCTAATTCGGGACCTGTAAGACTTTCCACTGAGTGACTAAAAAAAATTATACACACGGCCATAATATTTGCATTAAAACAGTGTTAAGGACTCAAGCAGGAACAAGATTTTATTTTCCTGCTGCATTTGAAAAACTGTCCCTGCCCTAGGAAAGGTTGAGGCAAGACAGTAGCTATTATAAGCTAATTGAATGAAGAACATTAAGAATGAGAATAATTATGTTATTGGGACAGAAATATATTGCTATTTATACCACGGTTCAAAAGATCTAGAAAAACATTTTTTGCAAAGGCAGATAGATCTAAAATGCTTGTGTTGGTAAGCAAAACCAACTGGAAAACACACACCTCAAGGTGAAAAAAAAAGCTAAAAAAGCAGTTTTCAGGAAAAAAGTATCAAAAAAAAGACCTCCAGTGTCTGGTAAAAGAGTAAGAAAACCATGTGTGGTTTAAACTGGAACATTCTTTAGGAGGAAGCACAGAAATTTATATCTGAAGGCTAAAGAGGATGTTTTTTGCCATCAGTAATATAAGAAGTGAAGTTCAGATGTCATTACATGGCTGTGGCCTGTTAAATGTACCAAACATCTCTTTATATGACTGCAGAGCTAGGATCCAAAATGGCAGCCACCCCCTGACAGCAACCTGCACATCATATGAACAGAAGCAAAATGCAAATCCAAAATACACAGTCCTGGAGACTGTTCACGGTGGAATTCCCTTCTCATTCCCCAAAGGATTCAGTTCTCTGAATCAACACACGGCGGTTCTCTGTTCACCCCAGTGGACAATAGTGTGACAAACCAGGAGGTTTTATTCCATTGTTCCAGACAGTCTGCACATTAAACTCACACAATTGTATCTAGAACAAATTGAGCACATGTCAGTTGCTCCAGACTTTAAGCACTTTAAAAGGCATCCACATGAGCCTTCTCAGAGGTGTATTCATCAGGGTGCTCTCTGTTTCAAGTGTTTTCCCTAATCCAAGACCCAAATACATAATGCTGAGCCCCAGAGGCATTTTGCAGAATTGTGATTCTCCTGTGGGACTCTGTGGCTGTAATACAATTAATGGAACATATCCATTTATAGATGGAGTTTTCCATCTGTGGCAGGTTGAAAGTGCTAATTCAAACGTCCTTCATTTCTCTCTAGTGTTTCAGGACACAACAGGATGAAAATCACTTATATGAAATATAATAAATGTTGAAAGCCAACACATTTTAGATCATTAAATTATATCTGTAATTTCTAGCTGCTATTGTCAGGGAAAAGATATGAGAAATGGGGTGTTTCTATGCAGTTTTTCTGAGACATTCAATTATATGTGTATAATTTGCATGTTTGTATCTGTTGTTTTATGCACCTGAACACCAACATCCAGTTGTCATTTGACTGCTAATCAACTTCTTCCCTTGTGATACGAAATCCAGTCATCATAAATTGCACAGGAGGTTTCATAACCTGCTGCAGTGCAGCCACGGTGGTGTTCATATTCCAACACAGCCACCCATGTTGCTTGGCCACACGCCTCTGGCCTGGATTTATGGAAGAAGCTAAAGAATTGGAGCTTGTTGTATATTTTATCATGTGTGAAAATAACCTTGCAGAAACAGATTTTGCGGCAGCTGATGTGCAGAAGCAACCCTGAGGTAACAGCTCAGGGAAGACTAAGCACTTCAGCTTGAGTTAAACACACCAAGGTCAGCTCCAGGGGAGGGCTTGGGTCATAGCACAGTTTCACCAGGGTAAATACAAAGTGCTGAGTCTCCTCTTTTTACTTCAGAATAGGTCCAACAGTTATTTATCCATTTATCCATTATTTATCCTGCATTTTGAGCAGTGAAGACCAAACCTTCTGCAATATGGCCGCTTCTGTATTGGTTCATCCATTTCCAGGGGAAGTGAGACACAAAATGCCACTCTTTCTTCAGGTGAGCAGAGGGGACTTTTCAACCTCTGAGGGATGAAGCACTGTTGACTGGTTGTACTGCCCAGAAAAGTCCTGACCAACCAGTTCTGTCCTGTGCCAACCTCTTTAATTCACTCATGTTTTTAATATGATCTTATTAATATCTTCATAGTAACATATTAATATTAATTAACATAACAGACATTTCTCTCAGTGACCACACTCATGACCAGGGTTAATATGTTTATGTTTTTCAATTCTTAACATAATGTAGAAAGTCTTTCTGTCTCATTTCCTTTTTCGCACTCAGATTTCTAAAATATGTCTTGCTTACAAAGCCTTCACTACTAAATAGTGTTTAAATTCCATTTTATAGACTTGGTTTCATCCTACAAAGGCAACTTTAGCTGGCACAGCATGTCCATATTTGCATGATTTGAAATGGCCGTGCTTGACCTGCCCATTCCAGCGACACCCGGTCACAGTCACCTGAGTTATGAGAGGTGTTTCCCAGATAAACTATTGGTGACCAACCTCAGCTCAGCAACACTACGCTTTCCCCCCCCGTGGCAGTGAGACCAGCCATTTTTAAGGGGGTGGTAATGATCCCAGCTTTGTGCTGAATCTCGTTTTCCTGGCAATAATCAGGAGGTAGATGTGATAACAAAGCCTGGGGCTCCGAGCCTGGAGTTTACTTTTGAAACTTTAGTGTCTGTGCAGGAGATCCCTTGTGTGGCTCAGACAGTGAAGATGCAGAACAATCAGGTGGAGATCACACATCCTCCCCAACTCCTTCAAGTATGTAAGATGTCCTCATAATCTGACCATTCTTTCCAGTCTGACTGTCCCTTACACAGCTTGACAGATGCAAACAAGATTTCCCTACTGTTTGCACTTCCTTTTATGAGTTATTTACTTTTTTTTTATCTGGAACCTGGATTTGAAGTGCTCCTGTGCTCACAGTTTTGATCCAAGGGAATCCAGTGGCTGGCTGTTCGTAGCTTACTCACTGTTTAAACAAGCCCATAGTTAGGCAAAGAGTACAACTAGCCTGGTTTACAGAGTTTAGTCTATCCTACACTGACAGAATTATCTCTTTTTTAACATGATTAGGCCAAAATTTACTGCAGTTACTGCAGTTGCCACAATAGAACAGGCAAGGCCAAGACAGGTAAAAATACTTCTGTAGGAAGCTTAATGATCTTTGAAAGCTGTTTGTCATTCTTTCGTTCAGAGTCCAGTCTGAGGATTATGTACTTAAAAACCAGCCTTGGGCTTCAGGCTTCACTTTTCCATGCTGGTGACCATCCTTGTCATGTTGGTCCAGAAACAGCCTTGATAAACCTTTAGCCCAACATTTCTTATGGCTGAGACACCAGGAGAAGCAGAGCCCAGCAGGTAATGGGGCAATGAAAAAAGGGATTTAACCTACACTTGAGTTCAAAAGGTACAGGGAGAGGTGAGGAACGGAACACAGGAAGGGCAGGGACAAATGAGCCAAAGAACTACACAAAGAAGTACGAATGAGACACCAAGCCATTATGAGTTGCTCCCTTGGTTTATGACAGGTAATTGTTTGCCTTTGTGTGCTCATAAATGCATTTAAAATAAACAGAACATTTCCTAGTATAGGCCATGGCACTGTTTTTTTCCTGGTAAAAGCTTTAAGAATACCATCAGAATATTTAGATGCTGACATGTAAAACTCAACAAAAGAGCTACAAGCCTTTTCCTGTTATTAAACAAACAGAAAGTAAATATTCAAGACTGGGATATATTCCTTAAGAGGATGTTCTGGGTTTGGTTGTTTTTTGTTTGGGTTTTTTATTTAAAAACATATTTACTTTTGGCAACAAATTGATGCATTTCGTTTATTTCCATTCTCAGAATGTGATGATTTAGGCCTTTATCTTGATTTCCTTGTTATTTTGTCCTTCTGTCGGCTATGACACATGAACCTGGACAGCATTTAGGATGAGCTCTGAGACACAGTTCAGGTAATATCTGAAGCCTGTAGGATTGTTTCTGTGCTTAAAGGCAGACAGCCATGTTAAAGACCCTGGACCAGGCAGGGTCTAAACTAAACGGAGTGACACCAGATTTTCATTTTGTTATGTAATAAAAAAACATATTCTGTTTTCTTAATATTGTAAATGAGGTAAAAGTGTTGGAGTCAAATTCAGTTTTAGATTTTACACTCACATCTACGAGAATTATAAATCACTAGAGCCTAGTTTGTATATGGTGCTGGAACCTGCCTTAAAATGTTCTGGCACATAGCATTCCCTCAAATCTATTCTATCCTTACATCTAACAAACTGAAAATGCCTGGGAAACCAGAAGAAAAACAGTGAAAAAAAAATCTGCTCTTATGCCTAGAACAGAATTCAATAACCTTAAATAAGGTCTTCATTTCAGCTCCTTGGAATTCCCAAGTATTTGAATGAAATAGCTGCTCTCCGACCTCTTATTAATGAATGGGTATGGAAATCACAAAAATGTGCAGTGAAGAGCATCTTGAATAAACAAACCTAGAGTTTTATTAAAATTGTGAGCACAAACTTACATGCACAGGAGCATGACTGTGCCTTCCAACACCCATTAGATACTCAGGCAAAGTAGGTAAACATTAGCCATCAATATTTGAAGAGAAATGTAATGAGCAAAGCAATTATTTAACAACTATGCAGGCGGATCTAAAAATGTGAGCCACTGTTTTAAGGATTCTGCACTCACCTGAATGCAAAACAGAGCTATAAATAGAGAAACTAGGGGGGGGGAAAGCTTTTTCCAACTATTTATATTAACTACAAGTTAATACAAAACACAGAACAATTTGAAAAATGGTTAGGAAAAGAAAGGTTGTAAACAATCAGGAAGACAACAATCAATATGTGAAAAGTCTGCCAGCTTTAAAGGACCTGTTTGAGAGCCTAAGATGTGCAAGTGAAAAGTGGGGTTTGAGTGTTTTGTGCTAGATTTGGTGCCTTTTTAGACAGAGGCCCAGGTGCACACTTCCCTAATATGAAAATCTATCTTGTATTTACATCTCTCAATGGAGCATAGCAATTTTTCTGCTTTCTGCACGGGGCTGCTGCGGTCACTGAAGCTTTAATTGAAAATTGCTGAAACATGGACACCTAGTGGAGACACCCCACTCTGACAGTTCTCTTTCCAGTTGAAATACAATTTAAAAATGGACTTTTACTGATGGTCTTGCCGGAACCTGGAGTTTTGTCCTTGTTTCTCACTGCCCTGCCCAGTGCTCAGTCACATGAGGTGAAGGCGAGAGTCAGAATTTGACAAAACAGAAGCTGTACACCATTTAACAACTCACCCAGGGGATTGATGAAGCAGAAAAACTAATGATCTACAAAAGAACAAATGTTTCATCACCAAAAGATAAATAAATCTGATGCTGGAGCTCAAGGGCTGGGCAAAACTCAGGGGTGGTAAGTGCCCTTAATTGCTCCTGGAATGGCAAGCCCAGACTTTCTGCATTAGTTTCCATGGGGAGAAGGAAAGAAGTGACTTTGGGGAGGCTGAAAGATTTGATGAGAGAAAATGAATGTTCACATCATTTTCAGATTCATGTAGTTTGTAATACAAATTGGGAGCTGCCCAAAAGGACAAGGAGTGACTGTGCCCTGTGATGTCTCTGAGAGCCCTTGGGCTGTACCTGCTGGGATGGGATGGGATGGGATGGGATGGGATGGGATGGGATGGGATGGCAGCTGGATCATAGGGTTTGGTACAACAATTCCTCATCCAAGTGTGTTTAATCTCCAAGAACACAAAAGCACTGTCCAAGTCTGAAGTAACTGTGCTAACAACATACTCATATTTAATGTTCTCTTTTCTCATGCTATTCATTTTACTGCTGTCCACCTTGGGATTTCTATTATGGGATTCCTTACTGGGTTGATGCTTGGCCAATATTTGTCTGACTTCTTGGGTTTTTTGTCTCCTGTGAAAACCATCTGAAACTAAGCAGAAACTAACCTTGATTTATTTCTTTAATAAACAAAATTAAGATACTGCATATTAATAAAAATGAAAAGTATTCCCTAGCTGTTTTGTTTTTTTAAGTTTCCAAAAACAGTCCCATATCTCTGTCAAAGTTAATGTAACCAGAATTTCCATGGGAATTTCTGTCAGTCTGAGGAAAGTGGTACTGGCTAATGTAAATAATTACAGTCCATCTTCCCACTACTGTCCAAATCACCTTGTGAGAAAGAAAAGGGCTTTATTTAAAAAGGAGAGTGACCTCATGTTCCTTCTGTGGACTATAACTAGTATGGGATAAGAAAACTTCACAGGCACATTCTGTCGAAACCAGAGACAGAAATTATTATAATGACGAATCATTACTTGAATTTTATGAGATTCTATGCAAAACCTTTTTTCTTGGCATGGATTCCAAAATTACATAAAGACACTACAAGAATAGATCATTCTTTTATGATTATATGACTAACTTTCTTGAGAGTGCTACATGGGCAAAGAGTTTTACAAGCTGACATTTCTGTTTTTTTTAATAAGCCTAAGCACGTAAAATATGTATTTAAAGAGTACATGGCCTGTATGTTTTGGCTGAGATAGGACTGAGAATTAACTTCCCAACTCCCAGTAAAAGCCCCTAAGCATCCAGGAAACAATCACCTTGGATAACAAAATTCCCTGCATATGGTAACTTAATTTTATGGAGTAGAAACTCCATAGCATGATAATTGGTTAATATTAGTTGTTAAATATTAGTTAATATGTAAGAGTAAATGAACTCCTATTTTATAAATGGAGTGTTTCATACAAATAATTCCAGATGAACTCTGCAGTGCAACAGTCACTGTGGAAGGACACAAACCACAGAGAGGCTGAGAGCACACAATTGTAAATGTTATGCAGATTTGAAAGGAAATTACCACGTGTGTGGTCACAGAAGGAGTTTAATAAGCCTGGCAGGCAGAGCATGTCTTGCCACTGTAACTGGTTTTCAGCTCTGCTCCTCCACCATTGCCTGAGAAATCTCGTAACAACACAGAGCAGAAGCATTTTCCTCCTGGGAAGACATTGCCAGCTCAGAGGGCTTCCTGTGGATGCACTCATGTCCCACATGGGACTGTGCTATAGAATAAACATATTTATATCCATATAGCATGGAACTTCTAGGGGAGGCAACATAAACAATGGGACACAGCCAGACAACACCACTGAAAATCAGGCAGCAAAGACAACTGTGTCAGAGTTGAAGGCAATGCATTTCTAGAACTGAAGGCTTCCAACCATCATGATTTAGAGAGTCATATTAGGCTTGTCAGAAAGCTGACATTGGTTTGGACCTTAATTTAATAATGTAGTAATTCAGCTGAGTTTCAAGAAATAGTAAGCAATTGAAAACTCTTGTTAGAGCAATGAATCAGCCAGAGACAACACCAAATAGTCTGTTCTCAGAATGACATTCCTGAACCGAAAGACTGTATGTAACACGGAAGGAAAGCTGAAAGATGACTTGGCAAAAGCTGCAGGTGTTCAGCCTCTGTAGGGCAGCACAGAGCCCTGGATTCTCTGCCGCACTGCAGAGCAGGAACACTCCTGGAAGGAAAAACAAACCCTGAAAACTCCCAGGAAAGGGATCTTCAGGGCTTTTAGTGCAGCCCCCTGTCTCAAGGCAGGATTAACTTTACTTGGAAGATGTTTGTCTAACCTGCTCTTAAAATTCCCAGTGATGGGCACGATTCCTCAGTGTCATCCTCAACTCACAGGTACAATATTATTTTGCAGTGTGACCCCCTTGCTCCTCCTATATTCCAGTGGTCATGCAGAACAATGCATGACCCCCTTGTTGCAATGGTCTCTTTTGCCCATTTTACCATTTCTAGACAGTTATTTCAGTCTTTCCTCACAGATCACTTGTCCCTCTCCCCTTGGCTCCTGGCAGCAGTGTGATATTTCTGCCTCTCTGTGATTCACTCTGACCTTGAGGGTTGCTGTTCAGAGCCTTTCATTTAGGTGCTGCCCAAACACTGGCTCATCACAAAAAGAGAGCTGCAGACATTTGTGAAAGTGTCTGTACAATTATTGATATTCTAAAAGAAATGTGGCATGACTCGTCTAAGGGAGCTTGTCCTTCAGATAGCAAGTTCTGGCTGCAGCACAGTGTGGGCTTATCATCAGAAACGGGAGCAGATATTGGGTTGAAGGAACAGGGGTGTGATTAGTTAATTGAGTGACTGGCATATGCTGCTGGTCCCTCTCAAGGCTGCTCAGAGATAAGGAGATGTGAAGGAAAGCCAGTGACCTGTATCTCTGTGTTTTGTCTCCTTCTCCCTGTCATGCACATCTCGGAGTAATGTCTGCACAAGGAGAAAATACAGATACATCCAGCACAGATAAACTCCACTTCCATTGAAATGAGGCTTGATTTGACAAATTCAGAAGGAATTTTGAGTCAGTAACAATTCTGATGCCAGCTTTCATCTTGTTACCTGCAATATTCTCATGGTTTGTGCTGTATTTCCTGTGTGGCCTTGTAACCATTATTCCCTGCCGCATGGCTCACTGGTCTGCCTGCAAAATGGCAGTGGGAGATAAAACACCTCATAAGAATGATGTGTCTTTACAACTTTTCACCAGTGAGCTCACTGATCTCTCTGTTGGGAATCAGAATTCTCTACTGAGAGTCTGTGTCCCTGGAGCCAAACTGGCTTGATCCTCTTTGTGTGTGACAGTGGTACCTCCCAGCGTCACCTCAAAACAAGAGTTGTACCGTAGGTGCAGGTGTGGTGTGGGTTTGATGGGCAAGACTCAAGCTGTGAATCAAAACAGAAGAAGGGATGTCTGCTCCTCACTGAGCAGTGGGAGGAAGGGCACTTTGCATTGTACTCAGGTACCTGTTTTTATGATTGCACGAGCAGGTCCTCCCGAGCCAGCCCTGGTTCCCTGGGCCAGCCAGGGCTGTGTTATCCCGGGTGCTTCCTGAGCCACAGCTGTGACAGGCATTGTTACGGAGCCAAACCATCCACTCGAGCGGAGCGCCGGCTGTGCCTCACCTCCCCCGCTGTGCAATGGCATCCCCGTGTCCCACGGCCAGCACCGAGCTCCCCGTGAGGGTGCAATGGCATCCCCGTGTCCCACGGCCAGCACCGAGCTCATCGCTCCGGGCCGGGTGTTCCACACAGTGTCACCTTCCCGCACTTTATGGTGTTTGAGCTGCAGTGCCGGTTCACTTGCCCCTGGAGACACCACGGCAGCCCCGGTGGAACCACGACCGCACCACCGGCGGGGACATCACCGCACAACAGGCGGGGACATCGGCAGGGACATCACCGCGGACCCCGACGGGGACAGCGCTGCAGGGCGGGGGCACGGGGCAGCCCCCTCCTGCCTCTGCCCGCCTGGAGCAGCTCCGCGCCCCTCGCTCGCAGCCCGGGGGTCCCGCAGCCGGATCCCGCAGCCGGAGCCCGCAGCCGGAGCCCGCCGTGCCCCCTCACCGCGGGGCCTCCGCGCCGGCACCGCGGGCGCGCGGCCGCGGCGGGACGGGA